ACGGCAGAGAGCCGTGACAGGATCGAGAGGTGAGGGAACCCGGTATGTTTTCTCTCACCTCCCGATCTACTGAGCCGACCTGTGACAGTCTCATTGTCACAGGTCGGCTTAGAACTATGAGGTGAGTGGAAATCACTCATGTCATAGTTCTCCTTTAATAATATAATGTATTGCTGGGACTTGTAGTCCTGCATAGCTGGTGGTATTCAGCATTGCTGTATAATCATTATACAGCAATGCAGAATACCACCAGCCCTGACTCAAAATTTCCACTCGCCAAAATTTCTACCTCACCAGTGGGAGCATCTGCTCCTGCTGGGCTCTCTGTTCTTTCAGCCTCAGCTCTTCACTGAGCACCGGGTCGAAAACGGAGTCTGCAGACCTTACTAATCACACCAGATCACCAGGGGTTAAATGATCCATAGTACAGGACTACATACAGATCATTTAATCCATTCATGTTATTATGTATTGTCTGCTCTGTATGAGCATAATATTGAGCATAACATAATTGCTTAATAAATTGACTCATCCCTGCTCCCCTGCTCCTGACTGGCCGCTGCAGGGTTTTTTTTTCTTACTTACCCCGCCGACCACCTAAATTAGGACCCGGAGACTGCCAGATGACCCCGCTCGGAGCGCCGCCCACCGGAGCAGCAGTGACGCGACGCTCGGCGAGGTAAGTAAGAAGAAAAAAAAAACGTAGCGCAAGCTTCGGCGCTAGGCTTCGGGGCATTTTGACAAGTACAAGTACTTGTCAAAATGCCCTGTATCGGGCCCGATTCCGATGCTAGCATCGGTATCCGGACATCCCTAGTCCCAGCAATACATTCTAATATAATTTATAATACCTCCAACTTCAAACACCCCCCCACCCCCCTTCCCGATCCAGTCTTCACTTACACCAGCCTTACCTGATTCCTGAAGCAACTACTTAATCTCGGCGGCCAGGAGGCGGGACTAAGTGGAGAGTGTCCTCTCCGAACAGCAGATTGTGCTGCCTGGCGGTGCCTGCAATGTCGGGAGCGGCATCGCCATGCAGACAAGTGACAGACACAGCCTCCTCATCCCGGCACAGCCGCCCATACATTCTACTGCTGCCGGTGGCAGAGCGGAGGGGGATGGAGCGGTACTGTGTGGGGAGGTTTGGGGTGTGCATGAGGGAGCTGTGGGCCCTCTTCTTCCCCTCCGGGCCCCCCAACGCCAGAGCCCAGTCACAATTGCGACCCTGGTAGCTCTACCAGTGCTTCAGCACGCAGGTATCCGCCTTATCAATCTGTCTTTATTGATGTCAGATAATCATAGCATCACAATGAAATGCAAAGTTACAGAACCACACAGGTTCCCTTTATCAGACAAACAATATGATAACATGTGCAAGAACACAACAGACATATATACACTAGTGAATAATCAATAAACCAAACAGAAAATTCCCTCTCAACCCCCCTGACATCAATATGACATCATATTCCCGCCACGGAATTAAGAACAACACACACCTATGACTGTATTGAGACATCATGCTGCCCTAGGAACACCTGAGTTATCATGCACCTTGACGAGTAAAGACTTCTTCTACTATGCACTATTGGAGGCAGATTGCAATTTCATTTAGATGCAGAACTACTTTTCAAGTGTCCTAACCACCAAACAAGATAAAGGAAAAATGGCTTCATGTTTAATGAATTATAAAGAGAGACTCCTTTACTTATATCCCTTGCCTGATTAGAGGGCCTCTCCTGCCTTATCCAGCTAGATCAAGCAGAAGCGGCCCTCTAATCAGGCAGTGTAGAGGGCAGCCCGAGAAGCCGAGGACCCAGCGGCCGCCGATCACAGATGCCGTATCGGATGCCGGCGACAGTGGGGGTCACGGGGGCCGTACGCGACGGCATCGGAGAGGCCCGGGGGGCAATTGCCACCCTGCGCCCCGGCCCAGTCCGCCCCTGCCCTGTACTCCCTTTATTCTAACATTATCTTAGTGAACTGAGCCACAAATGTCCAGAGGGGGACACAAAAGGTAAACAACAACAAAAAAAGAAATCTGTATGACAATTTGTAATAATGGGGCCTGGTGTTGCCTTCTCTCACCTGGTGCCCTAGGTACTGGCCCATGAGTACCATATAAAAAAACAGAGCATTGGTTACTCGCAGAGTTAGATTCCAACTGTTAGAATGGAAAAAGTGACAGGCGTCTGTCAGGAACAGATTCTATTTTGAAATTGTTAAACAAATGTTACAAATGGAAGATAAGGTCTATTGTGAGCCATAATAATCATATAATTTCACTTCTATACTGGCCTTCCCCTCATTTTTAATATTTGCTTTTCATTTTCATTCCTCCCTGGGTTTTTTTGTCCTTCTCCTTTTCAATTTATTTCTGTAAATATCAAATCAATGACTCATTGCTGTTATCAGTTGTAAATATCATGTCACTGACTCAGTGCTGTTAAGTTGTAAACAAACTGGTCGGACATTTTTTCTTAAACTGAACCTTTGCATTTCATGTAAACATAGAGGTACCTTTTTAATCTGCTCCATCAACTGTTTCAAAAGCATTCTTTCTTTTTCCAAAATGTGCAGTCTATGTAGGATAAACAGAGCGGTTATTAATATACAGATTTTGACTCTATGTCAAAGCCAACAAAAAAGCCCTCATAACCATCTTCAATTACTTTCCCTGACCAATGATGTATTTAGAGACATGTCACATGACTGTCACAGAAAGGACAGCTTGCTCAGGCTGGAATTATTATTATACAGGATTTATATAGCGACAACAGTTTGCGCAGCGCTTTAAAATATAAGGAAGACATTACAATCACAATACAATTCAAGACAAGATGGAAAGGAAGGCCCTGCCCGTGAGGGCTTACAATCTAAAAGAATTAGCATCCTGGTGCCACTTCTTCAATGCTGTACAAGAGGAAAGATGACAGTGCCAAATTAGGGAAATTACTGGGTTTCTGGGGATAGACTAAAGTAGAAATGTTGTTTATTGATTATGTACCAGTGAGTTGTTTATAAGCTCAATGATTCATATTTGGCAGGGGTGATCTATATAAACATTGAAAAGTGGTCCTTTAATGTGAATATACATTACACTTTCCTTGCATTGAGGTTAAAGCGGACCGTGCAGTATATAGTAAGGTTCACTTATTATATGAGGGCCCCTCCCTCATAATAAATAGCGCAATGACAGTTAAAAAAAAAAAAAAAAAAACAACTATAGGGAAACAAGTTATTAAACTGACACTAAACTCAGGAGTTAAACCTTAAAAATCCATGCAAGCACCTTATCTATTAAAGTGATATTAAAGTCAAAGGGATTTTAATCTGGTTCAAATGCTGATGAAATCACTTACAATGGATACTGCTACTTGATGTTTAAAAGTTTTAGTTTCCTGCAGAATCAGCTGCTCCCCTGACCACTGGTCCTTATTTCCTGTTTTAGAGTGCCTCCATTCTCAAGCAGAGTGCTATGCAGTCACCCTTGTGTGTGCCAATAAGCTGTGTGTGTCTCCACAAACACACAGACACAGTAAACCAAGCTACCCCCTCCTCCCTGGCTCCCTCTCCTCCCTTCTCCAAGCTAGTAGATGGACAGTTGCTGGAGTCTGCTCTGTCCATTGTGATCTTGGACAGGAGGTTCAGGGAAGCTGAGCTGAGAGACTTGGAAACACAATGATTGTAAGTGTTTGGCCAAAAAATGTAAAGCAATACTTTGCTGGGCAATGTATATTTGTTTGATCTGGATTCATTATTGAAAAAAAGTTTGAGAGTTTAAAAGAGAACTATGGGGTACGGGTTTTTCCCCATAGTTCTCTTAAGGGTCAAGGGAGGACATATACTAGCGTCCTCCCATGACCCAAAGATTAATATATCGCAAACTGTACCCGCAAACTGTACCCGCCCCCTCCCCCGTCCGTTCATCCACTCAGCGCTGGAGGATCGGAGCGGGGAGGAGGGGAATCCCTGCAGGGAGCTGTGACCAACAGTCACGGCTTTCTGCAGGGAGATGATCGAGAAGTGAGCGAGCGACGGTATGTGTTCGCTCACTTCCCGATCTATTGCGCCGACGTGTGACAGTTTCATTGTCACACGTTGGATCGAACTATGAGGATGAGTGATTTTCACTCACCTCATAGTTCTCCTTTAATACTACTTTAACAAAAATGTAGCTTATCTGTATATCACTCAGCTAATGATCCTCAAATCATATCTAAATTGGTGCAGACACTGTCCTTCCTTCTGGAGGGTGGCTACTTTTGTTCCCCATGATCCCTGTGTGTGTTGTAAAGTAACCAACGCTCCAAGCTTACTCCGGTGATAGCCTACAATCTCAACACAAATGACTAAACTACATGTGAGATTGTGAGTGAGCTTTCATGACATCATTCTTCCAGAGAGATCCCAGGAAATACTTAGTATCCCAAATCTAGTAAGAAGATTTTTCTGCACTGTGCTGGGGATTATGAGGTCCGCAATCGAGAATATTTTTTCATACGAATGTCACATTCTACATGCTTGTTCTTTCATATTTATTGTATTTAAAAACAATTTTAAAATTAATCACTAAATGAAGTCAATCCCTATTCAATCTTCCTGGTTAACGGTTGAGATATCAGCCACATTGATCATACGTGTTTTCAATAGACCAGTGGACTCAAAGACTTGCATTGTGAAAAAGAGCAGTAATGCACAGCCACCTGTAGAACTGCAAAGCAAGAAGCAGAGCCCACATATCTATTAACCAAATATGGCTGCACTCATGTACATACGCAATTACAAATTAGACAGAGAAAAAAGTTTTAGTTTTTTTTTTAAACATGCATTAATATAAACCTTTACTCTCAGATGATCTCTTTTACATGTTTATATAGATGTAAACATTTTTTGAAAGGTTATAGATTTACTTTAAACTTCAAAAACACATTAACCTTACATTACTGGAAGCCCCAAGTACCAATATCTGATATTCTTTTGTTTCTCTTCTACAGAGCTGTCGGTAAGACATGTCTGCTGATCAGTTACACAACTAACGCCTTCCCTGGGGAATATATCCCAACTGTGTAAGTAAAAAGCCTAGTCTATTCCTATATAGTGTCCCTATTTTGAACCCCAATTATTTTATTTCTCTGTCCTTAAATGTTGTGTTAGATCCCTGCCTTTTTTTAGAGTATAAAGGAAAACTTTGATCCTGTATTTGGATAATGGTTTACATACAGTATAATTACTCTATAATGACTGAATCTGGTTCGCAAGGGCATTTTTTCTTACATGTTTATATTTTTTGCACCCATGCAAAGTGGATATGTCCATTTTCGGTAGATGCTGGAGCATTTAATTGGATAACAGAGTCTTATCTCTTATCTCTTATCTCTCAGGACTGCAGAGTGAGAACTCTGTGTTGGTTTCCTGGGTATGCACATCTGAAGCAGCCTTCATGAGGGTGGTCTCACACTTCATCTTGGGGTTTTTATTTCTTTTATACTGTTGTAAATGCAACAGGATTATGATGAGAACACCCCAAAGTAAAAGGAAACACCCACAACCCCATGGTGGGCAGTAACAGAGTCAATGATGATGGCAGGAAGATCTAATTGCAGAAGTAATAAAGAGATATTATCAACCATCAGGTGACCCAGCCTACTAGACTCTACACCTACCTATAACAGTAAAACAACTTTTAAGTGGCCTGACCCAACTATATTTGTTTCCCATAGTAGATTTTGTTGAGGCTGCCTGTTGTAGATGAAGATGAGCAAACCATAAATATTGATTCACATTCTGATGCAATGAGTTTGCCAAATTCTCTGCCAGCCCTTTTGTTTCCTGTTCAGTTCTATCAATTTTTCATATTCTTATTACATTTTCTTGTGTACATTTTCAGGGAGACAATACGAAAAATCTAATATTTCCCCCCTTTTTTTAGTTAATGCTTATTTATGCCATCTGAAATGTACAAAATTGTTTAAACTAGAGATGCACTGAAATAGAATTTTTAGACTGAAACCAAAAATAAAAAATTTGTCAAACAGAAACCGAAAACGTTTTTTTTCCAAAATTTGTAATTTTAAAAAATTGTTTATTATTATTTAATTTTTATTACTTTTTTTTACTTAACTGTCAGGGGCTTTGGGGAAATATTAGGGGTCTAAACAAATCCCTGATATTTCCCTTTTAAAATAGAAAAAGAGATTGAGGACACAGAGCCCTCAATCTCAGTTTCTGCAGCCCCTGTTATGAATGAACTGGAAGCCTCCATACTGAGTGCTCATGTCCATTCATAAACTATGGGAATAGTATGAGTTACTATGTCCAGAATTATGAATGAACAGGAAGTGATGTAGAGCATTTCCTGTTCATTCATAACTGGGGACACCGTAAGCATACTATGTCCTATGTCCTCTGATCGCTGAGTGCTTGTAAGCTGCTCTCCATCCTGACTAGTCTGCTCTCCATCCTGACTTGCTGTCACCAGAGCCTGTGTGGGGCGGTGTGGGAGGAGAGCTCAGCCTCCTGACACCTGACACTCACTCCTCCCCTCTCTCCATCCTGATTCTTGCCTGTCACAGGAGGCCAAGCTGGGCAGTGCGGGATCTGTAATTACAGGAGGAACAATTAAAGTAGCCTAGGAGGCACATCTTAGATTAGAGATGCACCAATACCGATACTAGTATTGGTATCGGTGCTGATACCGAGTATTTGGGTGAATACTTTACTCGCCCAAATGCTCCCAATACCTGTCCTGATACCAGAACTTCCGGTATCAGGAAACCTGGCGGAGAGTCATTACATGCCGCCCTGCTTCCTGATTGGCCAGGAAGCCGGCTCCATGCTCTTTCATCACCAGGGAGCATGGAGTTGGCTTCCTGGCCAATCAGGAAGCCAGGGGGTGGGTAATAACTCCCCCCCTCCTTCCTGATTGGCCAGGAAGTCGGCTCCATGCTCCCTCATCACTTGGTGACGAGGAAGCATGGAGACAGCTTCCCGGCCAATCAGGAAGGCGGATGGCGTGTAATGACTCGCCGCCCAGCTTTCTGATTGGTTGGGAAGCTGGCAAACCAGGCAGCCGCGGCGAGCCATTACGTGTCCCCTGGCTTCCTGATTGGCCAGAACGCCGGCTCCATGCTTCCTTGTCACTTGGTAAGGAGGGAACATGGAGCTGGCTTCCCGGCTTATCAGGAAACCAGACGGAGTGTATTGACTCGCTGCACAGCTTCCTGATTGGTCAGGAAACTGACCAATCAGGAAGCCAGATTGCGAGTCATTATCCGCCCCCCAGCTTCCTGATTGGCTAGAAAGCAGGCTCCATGGTTCCTCATCAACTGGTTTCCCGGCTAATCAGGAAACCGTGGGGCGAGTCATCACATGCCGCCCGGCTTCCCGGCTAATCAGCAAGCCGGGCGGTGAGCCATTACACGCCGCCCGGCTTCCTTAATGGGACTTCCGGTATTGGTATTCGGTATCGGTGAGTACCGAGAAAATATTATCGGTACTCGTTTTTGATACTGAAAAAACAGTATCGGTGTATCCCTATAATTGATGTTTGGTCTGGAAAACGCTGCTGAGGGTATGGGCTGTATTTAGACAACATGCCCCACACCCCATTTCCTGTGAAGTCGCTGCTGAGGGTATGGACTGTATTTAGACAACATGCCCCGCAACCCATTTCCTGTGCAGTTTAAGGAAAACAAAATAAAGAAAATGTCATTACAGTTTGTAAATTTTGAGATTTGCTGCTGCCCACTTACCATGTTTACCCCATAAGTACCATTATGTTGAAGACAGTCCTGCTTTAGCCGAGACAACTTTTTGTTTCATGAAAAATAATTGGCTTCTCACACATGGATGTTTTAGAGACCGAGAAAAGACCTTAAAGACAGGCCTACCATGCATCATCACACTGTTTCTTTGGAGAAATGTAATCGATAACCTAACCTTTATTTTAATTCCAATTCAAACTGTATAAATGTATCTATTTTTAACAAACTCTTTGACAGATTTGATAACTATTCGGCTAATGTGATGGTGGACAGTAAACCTGTGAACCTCGGATTATGGGATACAGCTGGACAGGAGGACTATGACCGTCTGAGACCACTTTCCTACCCACAGACTGTAAGTTATCAGGGCTGTGATCTATGGTATGTTTTGGGTCTCCAGGTTTGCACTTTACTTTCTGTTCTGAAGACAACATTTTACCAGGCAGGAAGTGAGGGAACATCAGCAACAAGAACACAGGCAACAATAGCCTTCCCCTACGTAACTAAAAAAAAAACACATTTTGACTTCTGTCTGTGTTTCTGTTGGAGAGTGTCCCTCTTTTCCTGTATGATGTTCCCAGGACAGGGAGTCTCTCCAACGGAGCCCTGGACAGCAGTAAAACCTCAGCAATAAGACCCCATTCACACTCAAAAATCACTCAAATATTGCTCAAAATTCGCTTATTGTAGGTCAATGTAGCTCATCCAATGCATTTCAATGGAGCTGTTCACATCTCACAGCTCAATGTCACCTGTAGCTTGTAGCTCAAGTTTGTCGCTCAAACATGACCTACTTTTCCAGCGGATTTTGTGCAATTTGGCTCCAATTGGCTTTGATAGACTGCCAAAAGAAGCACTACGCAATGCGACAAAATGTGAACTGTAGCTCAATGTAGCTCAGCTCAAATCAGCTCTGAAAAAGCATTTTTTTTAATGAATCTCAGTGCTAATGGGGGTCTAAAACAGTTCTAACCCGCCCCTACTTTTTACGAAACTCCCCAACAAAGAATGCCTTTATATGCACTTTAATAACCCACCTTACATTAGAAACTGCTTCATCTGTAAAGCCAGGGATGTTTATATATATATCCATAGCCTATTAAAAATGTTATATTTGTAAAAAAGGTGATAGATATATAGATATCTTAACATCTCAACCTCAAGAAACGTTAGGACAGTGTTTGTTTACAACATAGTTTATTTTTTCTTCTCTTTTTATTCCTCTGAGGAGTACAGATTTTTTTTTGTAATAGTTTTATAGTATGGCAGGCAGGGCAAAACAACACATTCACCTAAGTGCATTAGTACTCACTTTTCTTTAGCTTACCTTCCACTACATTCTACCATCTTAAGGTGCCCATACACCTTACGACCATCGCAAGACTTTTGTCTTGCGATGGTCGTATGCTTCTTGAAAGCCTGTACGATCTGCCCACCTTGGATTCCCCCCCTCTCCGCTCTGATCCTCCTGCGCCGCTGATTGGAGGAACGGATGGAGTAGGGGGCGGGCCAGCTGGCTCTGCCTCTAGATAGGTAGGGCCTGCTGTCACTCATGCAACTCGGTGGATCTCGACAGCATTGTCGGGATCCGTCCCAGCTGTGGCAATTTCGGTATATAGTGAGCAATAGCTCGCTATATACTGAGCTCTGGGTCATGGGAGGACATTAGACTATGTCCTCCCGTGACCCTGAAGAGAACTATGGGATAAAAGGTTACCCTATAGTTCTCTTTTAATGCAAAACAGCTACCATCAAGATACCAATAACAATACATTCTAGTTTTAAATAGTCTCTTTAAACATTCCTCCTAAATAATAAGGCAGAACAGTTATTTAAGGAATAATATTTATATTTTTAGGTTAAATTAATTCCAGCAGTTCAAATATAGCACAATGCATGTTCTGATGCATTTTTAATGAGTAAAAGTGTATTTTTATCATCTGAAAATACAACAATGCTGGGATTGTACTTTTATCTGGATATTAAATATAACCACATAATACTAAGAGGGTTTCCTCTTACTGTTGTATCTTTCATCTCGGAAATATCCGTAATGTTTTATTTTAATCATGTGTACAGTTACATTTAATTGAGCTTTTCAGTCCTCTTGTTTAGAAATAAAATGCTTATTTTTAATTAGATCGTGCAGGTAGTCATTAATAATTTGGGTTGTCGCTTTCTGCAGTCAGTAATTGTCTCTTTTTCTCTCTGATAATTCTCCCCACTGCTTATATGCCTGCTGTGCCTGGTTTAAACCCAGTGCATTGATTTGCAGAATGAGACTGTAATGTGTAGACAAGCAATTTATTGCTCTTTATAATGGGTAGCCAGCTTGTTGTTAAGAAAGTCTCTTACACATAACTGTTGTCACGGTTATGTGTGCTTGGCTACAATGCTTAATGAGTAAAACAAGATTCTGTTTGGTGATGAAAATAATAAAATGAGGTGCAGATGATAAAGATAGTTTAGAATATGCTCCAGTGAGCCCTGGTTTTGTTATGTACTGTATGCTAAAGTAAGCACTATTTTAAAAGGGTTCACATATTAGATTTGTTCAAGAAACGTTTGGACAATTTCTTGAGGGACCGTAATATCCAGGGATACCAGTATCCCTAAGAATGAGATGATGCGTGGACCTATATGGGTTGGACTTGATGGACGTGTGTCTTTATTCAACCCCAAATACTATGTAACTATGTAACTATATATTTTATTCTGTATGCATAGACTAAAGAACCTTCCATTGTCCATAATCAGTAATTCTACAAATTGTTCCAAAATAGTATAAAAGCCATTAACATGCTGTTCCATGTTTAGTAATTAAGAATGGAAAGTATACTGTGGGGGGGTTAGTAAAACTGGAGCAGACAGAATCTGGAGCAGATGTGCATGGCAACCAATCAGCTTCTATTTTCAGCTTGTTTAGTTAAGTTTTGAAAATGAAAACTAAAAGCTGATTGGTTGTCATGCTTAGTTGTTCCCAGGCCCGGATTTCCCACAAGGCCACCGAGGCCCTGCAGAGGGGCGGCAGAGGGGCGGCAGCGGTGACCTTGTGGGAAGTTGCGGGCGCCGGTGTAAGGTGTCCGGCGGCCGCACACTACGGTCCGCCGCCATCCAATCACGA